CCAGCCCATCTGTGCGCACACACACGCTCCGACCTCTCTGCACATGCAGACACAAGCACCCCTGGGCATGTGCACACCCGCACAGGCCCGGAGCCGGCCGCAGGTGCAGGGACAGACCTTGCTGCCGGCTGCGTCCAGCCACCTCCTGCCTGGGGGTGCCCACTGGGAGCTTTGGCAAGGCAGGGCAGGGCTGGCTGCTCTCCCCCATCCCCTGCTCTCAGCTGACCCTGGAGCTTGGCCGGTGTGGAGCACCATAGCACAAGAGCCCAGCACAGCCCCTGCCCTCCTGGAGCTCATGACCACGACCCCTCGCTCCCTGCTCCAGCTGGCCTGGACATGCAGCATGGCAGGGCCCCCGGGGCCTGCAGGGAAGGGAGAGCCCAAAACGGGCTTTTAATTGAGCTAATGAAGTTGTGTGGGCCCTGCAGCTCCAAGGCTGTTCCCTAGGCTCGGATGGTCGGGGGCTCCATCGTGTGGTGGGGCCTGCCCTGTGCTGGCTGCAGGGTTAGTTCACGTGCAGAGATGCTGGCAGGGTCCATACAGCCCCACAGCAGGGAGCAGAGGCCCCTGGAAAGAGCTGATCGGGCAGGGAGGCTGGCCCTGGCCAGGGGTATGGAAATGGGACCGTGTGCCCTCCACCCATGGGGGTAGGTAAAGCTGCTGGAGCCCTACAGGCATGGGGGTCGGGAGTCAGGTGGAGGGCAGCGTGCCCTAGAGCCAAGCCCAGGCTGGGGAGGGTTGGAGGGTGGACATGGGCTGTCTCCTTCCGGCTGCAAGGCCCAAGCCTGGGGCACAGCAGAGGCTGGGGTGGAAGAGGCCACGAGCTTGGGGGCGCTGCTCCTGAGTTGGGGCGCAGCTGGGAAGGGTCTAGTGCAGGCTGGACTGTCGGGGTGGGGCTGGGTGTGTGTATGTTTCTATGGGACAGGGCTGGATGTGTGCAGACAGGCACGTTTGTGTGTGTGTGTGCACCATGGGATGGGGTGGGTGTGTGCAGAGGCCCATGTGCATACATGTATCATGAGATGGGGCTGGGTATGTGCATGTACATGCCTTTGCAGGAACCTTATCCTGGCCAGGACCCCCACCACAGACGGCAAGAGCAGAAAGCATGCATCTGGGGGACACACGCGTGTTCCTTTGCAGGGGGGTGCACATGGGGTGCTGCCTGGGTGCACACATGACAAGCATGTGCCTGTTTGTGTGTGTGTGTGTGTGTCTACATGTGTGCATGCAGAGGGACAAGGGAGGGCCCCATGTGTGTGAGTGTATAAGCATGTGCATGTGTAGGCTTGTTTAAACAGGGCGCACATGTCAAGAGTAAGGGGTGCTGGCTGAGCTGGGGGCTGCAGGTCAGGAATGAGGGGCACCAGCAAGGCTTGCGGCAGGCAAGGGTCTGCAGGTCAGGAGTGAGGGGCACTGGGAAGGGGCTGCAGGTCAGGAGTGAGGGGCACCTTCACGTGTGTGCATGCATGCTTGCGTGTGCACACCAGGGTGCCTGTGGGGCCTCCCCAGGGTCCAGCTGCCCCAGAGCAGCCCAGGCCCATGGAGGTGTAGAGGGGCAGAGGCCAGGCTGTGAGCTAGGAGGGGAGTGGGTGCCACAGCCTGTGGCATCAGTCCCTGTGCTGCATGTCCATGGTGACTGGTGCGTGCCGTTTCTTGGCTCTGGCTGATTTCCCAGGGGGCTGAAGGGGGGCTGCTCTGTTGCTTGGCAGCTGGATCTGCCCCCCTTCCCCCCCCCCATCCCACCTGGAGC